TGGACTACTTCATTACTACAATTCTGAATGCATGCCCAGATGTTATTACAAGCCCATGAAAAATAGTTTATGCCTTTTGAGAGGATACAGCGTGCATTAAAATCATTCCCCAGTTCTGCTATGGAGAACATCACATGCACAGCAACAGCCCATAACTGTCTAAAGGGGCATATGTGAGTCAATGGAAGGTTGCACCTTAACCAGGGTTTGCGTTTTTTTTTATAAAATTAACAGTTTGAAAAACAGCTGCTGAGACTTGAGTTTCAATGGCATAAATGTCCTTGTCACTGGAAAATAGAATAAAATCTCCTCCGAGTCCTGATTTCCGGTGATCTATGTTGACTCATCTTGACAGCAACATAGAAGTGGTTTGCCATTGTTTTCTTCCAGAAATACTTGCTCCTAAGATTTATGTTCTGAATCAGCCTTCAACAACCTCCTGACATCCAGTTTTAACTGTAACTTAACAGAATAACAAAATAACAGAGTTGAAGGAACGTTGGAGGACTTCTAGTCCAACCTATCCCATTCTGGACAAATGGCTGTCCAATCTCTTCTTTAAAAATTCCAGTGATGGATGTCCCAAAGGTGCTTTTTCAAGAGGCAACTGGACTTTCTGGTTTTTCTTTGAAGACGTTTAGCTTCTTATCCAAGAAGCTTATCTAAGAAGCAAAACGTCTTCAGAGAAAAACCAGAAAGTCCAGTTGCCTCTTGAAGAAGCACCTCTAGGACAACCATGACCTGGATCGCTGAGAATCTCCATAAACACCTCCAGTGATGGAGCACCCACAACTTCTAGAGCCAAGTTGGTCCACTGATTAACCATTCTAGATCTCAGGAAATGGCTCTTTAGTTCTAGGTTGATTCTCTCCTTGAACTTGAACCTGTGATGACCCGGAGTGTAACACAAATGTAATAAAATCCAAAACGTAAATAAATGTCCTTTAATGCCTCCAACTTGGCCCCACTGTTCAATAATTCTCAGTTGGAGATAAAACATACTCAAAAATAGTCTTCAGAAGAAAGCAATATAGTCCGAACTTAATGAGCAGATACAGGTAAAATAAAAAACCAAACAAACTACAATGAAGGAAATTTCCACAACTGAGCAGGATAAGTAATTACCAAATCCAAGGAGATAACTAGGCACAGTCTGTTGGAAGGACACCAACCAAGATAACTTCAGCCCAAAATAAAACACACTTTACTTCTGGCAACTCTGTGTTTTAACTGTCTCTCTTATATACTAGTCTCTCCAGCTGTAACCAATGAGGGGGATCATGGCCGCTTCCTCTCTCATAAGCCAAGTTGTTTCCTTCTCCATTCCTCCCTGTGTGACCTAGAATGAAGAGGGGATGGGCCTGGTTCTTCCTCTGACTGCCCAGCCAGCCTCTGCCCTTCCCTAGCCTCCTCCACACCTCCCTGGACCCACACCTCCCTGTCGGCTGTTCCTCCTCTCCCTCAGAGTCCAACTCTACCAAGGGCACAACAGAACCACACCTAGCCAGTAAGAGTCCATCCCTAGGCCATCTGCACCAAGATAAGGATGATGTCCTATATGGATCAGGATTTAGATACCTTCACCATCTCCTTTTCCCAACTATTTCTTCTTGTCCAGTAAGATCTGGGAGAAGGAAATCTTTTGGGGGTCCCTTCATTGAGGGAATGGTATCAGCCAAGATCATGAAGGCAGGTCCTTTTCAACTGCTGCCCCCTTTCTCTGGAATTGCACCCCCCACCCAACTCTGCTGAGTTTCAGAAAGATTATCAATGCTGTCCTAGCAAGACCTGGGGATATATGTGCTCTAACCTCAGGGGTGGGATGCTACCGGCTCTGCCCGGCTCTATAAAACTGGTAGCTCTGAAGACCAGCAAACACTGAACTGGTTCTGTGTTTGCTGCTGTTTGGCCCACCTGCCCGCCCAGGCTCTTACCTGTCCTTTATTTCCTACTTTTTCAACTTCAGCTGCTTTGCCCGGCATAACTGCGGTTGAAAAAGCAGGAAAAAAGAGGCTTTTCAAAGCTGTGCAACCTGCGCACAGTGCTTTTCAGCTGTCTGGGTGGCACAGCTTAAGTTTTTTTTTACACACGCGCGTGCGCAAAACATAGTCACCGAACTGGTGGTAACACCGGTTGAATCCCACCCCTCTCTAGCCTCGTTCTTTCTCACAGCCTGGGGTGTTTGTTTTAAATTGAGTTTTGTTTCCCTGGGTGTAAAAGTGAGACTTCCGAATGTTGGATGTTATTATTCGTTTGTCGATGTTACAGCCTGACTTGCAGTAGTTGGTTGCTCAGAACCCATAGCAATCAGAGCAGTTTATGCACCAAATCAGTAAATACCTAAATAAATAATCCTCCTTCAATCGGCTTGCATTCTGATCAGACGGGGACCATTCTGTAGGTGTGGCTAACGCTAGGTTTTTGTATTAATTTTATGATTGTACAGTCACTGATGCTAGATATATTTTTTTTCGGCTACCTGAACTAACATGGCTCTCCTACTTCAGCCTCTTACAAGTGGGAGTTGGTATGACCCAAAGTTCCCCATATAAAACAGCATCTCGAAGGGAGAAGTCTCCCTGATGTGCCCATTTGATGAGCAGAACATGCTTTCATATTAGAGATAGTCCTTGACTTATGACCATAATCTCTCTGAAGCTTTCAGCCCTAAATATTTGGGGCTGCTGTAGGGAATTTGTATAATTAAGCCCAAAATTTCTGTTGCTAAGAGAGACATATGTTAAGTTTGAGTCTTGGCCCATTTTATGTCTTTCCTTGCCTCTGTTGTTAAGTGAATCACTGCAGTTAAGTTAGTAACCCGGTTGTTAAGCAAATCTGGCTTTCCCGTTGAATCTGCTTGTCAGACGGTCATAAAAGGAGGATCATCTGACCCATGATACCACAATCTCCGTACATATGAACCAGTGGTGGTATTCTTCCGGTTCAGCTCGGTTCTGCCAAGCTGGTAACGCCAATGAGCAGTGGAGACGGAACCGGTTCTCTCTACCGCTCTGCTGTTGGGCCCACCCGCCTGCCTGGGCTCCCATACTCCTCTGCTTTTGAAGCGCAGGTGCTTTGCGCATCACAGCAGATTGCTGCGCGGCAGCTGCTGAAGCAACCGGGAGAGTGCAGGCTTGCAGGAGGTGAGTTGGAACGCCTCTGCGCCTGCGCAAAGTGTGCATTGGGCATGCGTGCACGTGCAAAGTGTGTGCGTGCGCCCACCAAGCCACGCCCACCGAACCGGTGATAAAAATTTTTTGAAATGCACCATTGATATGAACCAGTTGTCAAACTTCTGCATTCTGATCATATGATCATGGGGATGAGGCCAGGGGTGGGCTTAGAATTATTTTAGCAACGGGTTCTTTGCCCGGTTGCTGGGTGGGCGTATCCATGGTGGGTGTGGCCTAGTCGGCCTCCTGTATCAGGGCGGGGAGGGGGTTGCCCGCCCCAGGCTCCAGAGGCTCTCTGGAAGCTAGAAACTGGTCCATTCCTGGCGTTCCCAAACTTCCGAGAGGGCTGTTTTTCACCCTCCCTGAGGCTCTGTGCACACCCTGCACTTACCTGCATCCAAAACGGGCCACCTGGGGACTCCTGGGAGGGGAGGGGTGGGCAGGGCCAGCCAGGAGTGGAATTTGGGAGTTCTCCAAACTGCACAGAGTCTTACCTAGGGCCTCTCCCTGCGAACCGCCAGCAGCCGACCCCTGGATGTGGTAAAGGTCGTAACTCTGAAAAACTTAAGTCCCTTTTTTCAGCACCGTTGTCACTTTGAATGGTCACCAAAGAAACCGTTGTGAGACAAGTTATATGGTCATACAAATCCCCCTCCAGCGGCCCCAAATATTTAGGGCTGAAAGCTTCCGAGAGAAAAACGAGCCTTTAAAAAAAAATCATTATTGGGCATTTGCCTGAGCAGGAAACCCACTCACAGCACGGCGTTTCCCACTTTGGTCCCAGGAAAAGCCTGCGGGGAGAGATAATTTTGTCGCGTGGTGAAGGTTGTCAGGCTAGAAACTGGGAGGCAGGGGGTTCTAGTACAGTCTCGGGCACGAAGCCAGCTGGGTGACCTTGGACCAGGCTCTTGTTCCCAGCTCTAGGAAGGAGGCCATGGCAACCCCCTTCGGAAAGCACGCCAAGAAAACGGCAAGGACTTCGTCAGGCCAATGATCAGGCGTCAACGTGTCAGAGGTGGTATTCAGCAGGTTATGACCAGTCCTGGTGAACCAGTAGCGGACATTTTAAGTAGTTCGGAGAACCAGCAAATCCCACCTCTGACTGGCCCCGTCCCAGTGGTGGGATTCAAAAATTTTTTACTACCAGTTCTGTGGGGATGGGTTGGTGGGCGTGGTGTGGCTTGGTAGGTGTGGCAGGGGAAGGATAGTCTAAAATCTCCCTTCCCTCCGCACCTCACTAACCTGCTTTCCAGCTCTGTTCTCCTGTGCAGGGCAACCAAAGGAGACCCAGCCAATCAGCTGGGACTCAGGAGGTGGAGAATAGATGGGGGCGGGGCCAGTCAGAGGCGGTATTTGCTGGTTCTCTGAACTACTCAGAATTTCCACATCCGGTTCTTCAGAACTGGTCAGAACCTGCTGAATACCACCTGCCCATCCCCCCCCCCCCGGTCTATTCTCTGCCTCTCAAGTCCCAGTTGATCAGCTGGGTCTTCTTTGGTTGCCCTGCACAGGAGAACAGAGCTGGAAAGCAGGTTAGTGGGTTGGGGAAAGAATGGGGATTTTGCAGTATCCTTCCTCTGCCATGCCCGCCAAGCCGCGTCCACAGAACTGGTAGTAAAAAAAAATTGAATCCCGCCACTCAGTGTTGACTTGAAGGCACCATCAAAGGTTCTGTTACCTGGAAGAGTTTGGCCGCCCTAACCTTCTTTGAGCAGACCAGGAAAAGGGGCTTTCTAAATAGGAAAAAGCAAATGGTTCAGGAGGAATCTAGGAATTACCTGGGTTAAGTCTGAGGCAAAATCTTCAGGCCTTGGCCCAATGGAGTATTACACACACACACACACACACACACACACACACACTACTTCTCTCTGCTCAGAAGGAAATTGCAAACAAAGACTTTCCATTCTTCCTCTCAGTGGCTCCCCATCTGTCCTTCTTTTCTTCCTTCCAGACCCCAGGCGAGGGGAGGTGCAGGCCGGTGTAACTGATCCATTTTTAAAACCTTCGTGCCAGGTGCATGCTTTCTCAGCCAGGTTTCAGCAGGCTGCCCCTCGGCAATTATGCGCATGCACACATACACACAAAAGGCAAATGCACAAAGGTTGCCTCTTCTCTTTTTTTTTTCTTCTTCTTTTTTTTTGGTCAGACCAGAATAGTAGAACAGCCAGGTCAGAAAGTTTAAACAAGAGAGTAGGAATAACTTCGGGAGGACTTTTTAACCATTTCACAGACCTGGCAGGAAATTCTGTGGCTCATTAGAGACACCTAGTGGAGATGGGCCACTCAAAGCCTCTGCCAAAGGTGACTGGAGGCAGGACGCTTGGTACTGATCTGGAGCACCCATCGCACGCTGATTTCTTAGGATCACAGTGGGTTGTTCCTTTATCTGTGGAGTTGTTCCCTTATCTGTGGAGCTATGGGGTAATCTATGCATTGAATCAGAAGATGAGATCCCCATTTGTATCAGGGTGATTCCCTCCTCCCAACATCATAGATAGATAGATAGATAGATAGATAGATAGATAGATAGACAGACATATGATAAGTAGGTAGGTAGATACCATAGATGGATAGACACCCGTAGATGATAGGTAGGTAGATAGGTAAGTAGACAGATAGATGGTAAGTAAGTAGGTAGGTAGATATCATAGATGGATAGACACCGTAGATGACTGATGGGTAGGTAGGTAGATAGACTGATAGAAAGACAGATGTTAGGTAGATAGGTAGATAGACTGATAGACAATAGGTAGATAGATAATAGGTAGGTAGGTAAACAGACAGATGATGGATGGATGGATGGATGGATGGATGGATAGATAGATAGATAGATAGATAGATAGATAGATAGATAGATAGATAGATAGCAGGCAGGACAATTTCCTTTTCTCCTATGTTCATCCATGAGATATAACCTACACCAGTTGAATGGTTGCCTGTGCCAGCCCAAGACAGCATCTTTGGGGGCTGCAATGGCATCTTTGCCTTTCTCCCCCTTTCCTGGTCTTAATCTACCCCAGCGTAAATCCAAGCAGAAGGACACAAGCCAGCTTGGTCTACAGAACTGTGCCATGCATTTGCTAGAGACTACATGGCTGACTTCCGAGCAAGCCTGTGAAGTTGCTGAAATCTTTGCGGGGTGGAGAACGGCCCTCTTTGGGGTGGGGGGTGGGGATAAATGTTATTCAGGATCTTCATGGCGATTGGATTTTTAAAAGGATTTTATTCCCCGTGACTCTCAAACTCTAAACAGGCTGTGATCAAACCTCCTACCATCTTTAAAGAGTCCCAGGAGATGACGATGTTTAGCATTTTCCCCCTGCTGTTTTCTCCATTTAACACCTCTCCTCCTACCCCCACAGAAGCTGCTTTTCATTTTGCAGCTGAAGGGGAAGGTATCCTTATCATGCCTCGGTCTGCCTGTCTGTCTTGCAAAAAAATAAAAATGAAAGAAAGAAAGAAAAACAGCAGATTTTTAGATGGGAAAAACAGCAGTAGGGGAGGGTTAGATTTAAAAAAAAAAACAACCACCAATCCTCTTTCCCAGCACAGTTGTCCCAGTTGAAATCAAACTGTTCTGCACCGGCTTTAGATGTTTTCAAAATCAACAATAAATCTGGTTTCCCGCATCACATCTGTTTTGGCCCGCCTGGTGTTTTTGGTGAGAAATGAGGATGTTCAAAAGCAACATCAGATCCAGATACCTTAATGATGAATTCTATTAAAATACATGAGCTTTTGAAGGCTCTCTTGCATGAGAGTTGAGAAGGGGGGGGGGGGGAAGGAGAGAAAACAGCAGCCAGGGTATTCCTCCCAGGTGGGGCAATAATCATAAATCTCAAGTGGAAGCCTCTACCAAATATTCAGAGTTGAAATGCTCCAGTTTTGCAGTGCCAGGCAGATAACCCCTCCTCTATTTTAACTCTTCTTGGGAGAAATATCCTTCTGGGTTCAGTTCCAAGTGGGGAAAAAGACACTGGAAGTTGCTTGGAAAGAAGGTTTAATGGTGGACAGGACCACCTGCCTTGGAGCTCCTGAGCAAAAAGGGAAGAGATGCTCAGAATCCCCTGGTTTCATACCCTCTGTTGGGCCCCACCTTACTATTTCCTGTTCCTGTGTAAGAAATGTATCCCATTGGCTGTCAGACTCCCAGGGGCGGGGCCTTAGACTTCACCTGGACCACATGGCTTCACCTGAGTGATGGCTGATGCAACCTCCTCAGGTGCCAGGTGGTGAGATGGGTAATCCTATCATGTCCTGAGGGCCATGTCTTAATCCCATCACCCTGGAGATGAAGCGGGGTGGGCAGGGAGCTGCATGGAACTGCTTTGCCTTTAAAACATGTTTCTCCTTTTCTCATCTGGGGAAATATAATATTCTGCCTTTTAAATATTTCCTAGAATATTTCATTCTCCTAGGAGAGGGGTGGGTGCTAACGTTCTATACTCTCCTGGTGCCCCATATATCCTCAAAAACCATTGATCGGCAACGGTGGGTTATTTTGGCAGTTTTCCCCTGCTCTCTCTCTCTCTCTCTTTTAATGCTGTCGATTTTGAGGGTCATGTTCCCCGCCATTCTCTCTCTTGCAGGGTGTTATCCCTGGAGGCTTGAGAGAATGAGCATCCGCTCAAGGTAGAACTGGACTCACAAGTGCAATGGAGCCTAACATTTCCATTGCTAAGCAAGACAGTTGTTAAGTGAGTTTTACAACCCTTCTTGCCACCGTTGTTAAGCGAATTAGTGCAGTTGTTAAGTGAGAGTGGGGAGAAATATCCATCTGGTTCACTTCCAAGCTGGGAGAGAGACACTGCAAACACGGAGGCTGATTAGAAAGACGGTTTACTGAGGAAGCAGAGCCACATGGGTGGTTCCGGTGCAGCCAACCACATGGAGTTGAGAGTGGGTGGCTTTTACACCTTCTCTTGGGATTTGCACTTGAGCTTCCTGTTCCTGTGCGAGAACATGTATCCTATTGGCTGTCGTAGGGGTCATCGCTAGCTCTATAGGTTGCCTCAGGTTTGATTGAAGTTTGGACTCTGATGCAATGTCCTTGGTAGATTGTGCAATATGGTGAGCTCTGCTGCTAGTGGGTTAATCCTATTATGTCCTGGAGGGTCATAGCCTTAATCCCATCACCCTTGAAGCTGAAGGTCTTCTGTTTTGTAGATAGGATGGTCCAGTCTTTAATGGACACAAAATATCTGTTTGGAGGGGAGGGAGCTGGGGCTGAGTTTCTGTCTCCTTTAAGATTTCTCTTTCTCTTTCAGGGGAAATATTTTATCCTGGCTTTTTTAATATCCCTCCAAATATTTCATTCTTCTAGGAGATGGGTGGGTGCTGTCTTTCTACATTCGTAAGACATTTGTAAAGTCAATCGGGCTCATCAGAAGGTTGTGACACCAGGGCACGGCAACCATCATAACTATGAACCAGTTGCCAAGCTTCCGAATTCTGATCACATGACTACAAGGATGCTATACAACCGTCATAAGTGTGAAAAGTCCATTGGAACTTACTAAACAGTCACTAAACAAATGGTTGCAAGCCGAGGTCGTAACCCCACCTTTAAGATCAGTGCAGTTGGCATAAGCCTCAGCTGATGTGCCCAGATATGTTGGGAACTGTGGTCTAACTCATATGGAAGTTGCCAAGATGGGGGGGAAATGGACGTAGAATGTCTATGGAGATTCTCAGTCATCCAGGTCATGGTTGCCCCAAAGGTTGACTCAGCCTTCCATCCTTCCGAGGTGGGTAAAATGAGGACCCAAAATTGTTGGGGGCAATAGGCTGACTCTGTAAACCGCTTAGAGAGCGCTGTAAAGCACTGTAAAGCGGTATATAAGTCTTAGTGCTATTGCTATTTTTCAAAAGGCGACTGGACTTTCTGGTAATGACATAGAATGTTCTTGAGAACTTAAGGTTTACAAGTTGCTCAAGTAGTACCTTCACTGTATGTTGACCAACTTGTTCCAGTCCTTCTAATGAATTCCGAGTCGTTGTAGTCAGTGTCCTTCTGTCTCTGGATCTCTGCTCTCTTCCATTCCAGTAGATCTAATGGGGCATCGGGCATCTTTAGAGTATGTTGCAAGGTTTCTAGTTACTCTGTCCAGGGTAGAAGTGGCGTGGTATAAAAAGGTCTCCTGCTTGATCAAGAGGGTTGGACTAGAAGATCTCTAATTCTATTATTTTGTTAAAACTGTGATGTCTGATGCAGCAAAGCTCCCTGCTTGGAGGAAAAACTGAGTGTTACAACCAATTTCCAAAAAAAATATCATAATTTTAGACTGGAACTTTCTGAGTTGTCCTTCCTGCACAGACAGGAATGCTGGTATGCTCTTGTGATTAGCCAGCAACATGAAGTCCCAGGACTGTCAAAGCTATTTTTGCTTAAGCCAGAGAGTAGTTCCTTCTCCTGGGTGGTTGTTCTTTGGCCATCTGCAACTGATCTGGACTTCCTAAGCAAGATACTCTATTCTCTAGGTCTAGCCGTGTTTCTGACCTTATCATTGAGCCAAGGGTCTTGGCTTAAATAGAAGTAGACGCCGATTTGTGCCACCCTTGGTCTGCAGAAGAACAGTGAGATTGGTAGACTGACTAGATCAAGCCATGCTAATCTTTGGTTGATGATTTTTTTCCCCCTCTTCTTCTCCACAGAGAATTCAAGTGTAACAGCAGGAGCAGCAAAACAGAAGGTGAGTTGTGAAATGTGGATTTTGTGTTGCCTTCTGTTCCCAAGAGATAGCAGTGGAACAAACAAGAATGGAAGTAGTAGCTTCAGGGGTCTTTGACATACTTAGGTTTCCCTGGCATTTTGCATGAAGCACAGCCTGTGCTTACAGCATTGCTTCCTTGCACCTG